ATGCTGTCCTGGCCGCAGCAGCCAGGAAGCCCCACCCAGCCTTTGCTCTCGGGTGGTCACCTCCCATGTAGGCACAGTGTGGTCAGCTGGACCTGCAACAGGAGTGGGTGTCTGAAGGCAAATGTGTGTTGGGGAGGGTGGTGAGAGAATACAAGGAAAGCAGAGGGGGCCAGGTGAAGATGCTCAGGCTATGGTCCCCTCAGGCCTCCTGCCCAGCCCGTGCCCAGCCCCTCCTCACCTCGGCAGCTGAGGCGCTTCCGGAGGGGGCTGCAGAGGGAAGAGGCGGTCTCTTTCCTGCTATTACAGAAGAAGCAGGTTACAGAGCTGGGCAGGGCGGGTGGGGGTCAGCAAAGGAGGCTTTTGGAGGGAAGCTGCGGGGGAGATGGAGGGGTGTACACAGGCCTGAAGCCCAAACTAGAGTGCCCAGTGCTCCCCCACTCTCCAGGTGCCCTGGTGTAACCTCCAAATAAGGAGTGATTTGGGGGCACAGACGGGGAGCCTCCTTATTTGGTCCAGATCCTGGAAGATGCTCAAGAGGGTCCCTCAGGCCTGATCTCAGCTGGAGTCAGAGCTGCAGGGACCCCCTCAGCAAAGTGGGGCCTGAGGGACAGGGAGGGAGCCTGTGGCCTGCAGGGCTGCGGCTGGGGCAGGCCAGGGCAGGACTGCCGCATTCATATTGAAGGTGCTTGCACTCACCTTTAGCAGTGGCATCTGCTGCTCCCTGGGACACAGGAGGGTTGGTCAAAAAAAGGCTGGGCCCTGCAGGCCTGGTCCCAGGGCCTGAAGTCCCACCCTGAGCCCCCTGCCCTGCCTCCTTCCCTCCCTCCCTTTCCCCCTGACCACCAGCCTCTTACATTCTGAACTTCCTGGGGGGTTATGGTGGGCCTGTAGGGAGCGAATTGGGGGACAGAGCTCAGGATCTTTATCTCCTTCGAGAAAAGAGCCCAGTGGACCCAGCATCCCAAGCTGCCTCTGCCACCCCTGCCAGCAACCCTGGGACAGTGCAAGGAGAGCCCATCCCAGGGTCAGGGCTTGTGAAGCCTTAGTTGGGACTTACTCTGTCCCTTTCTCTCTCTCTTTCTCTCTCTCTCTCTGTCTCTCTCTCTCTGTCTCTCTCTCTCTGTCTCTGTCTCTCTCTCTCTCACACACACACACACGTGTGTGTGCATGTCTGCTGGGGCACTCACCTGAGCACCACTGACATCCTTGGCAGAAGGACTGGAGGCATCAGGACTTGGGAGCTCAGAGTCTGGGTCAAGGCCAGGACTGAAACAGAGAGGGCAGGCTAGGCTTGGCTGGGCACCAGGCGGGGAAATCCGTGCCGGCCAGGGAGGGGCTGAGAACAGCTGCAGGGCTGCCATTTCTCTGCAGCCCGGGCTTCCTGGGAGCCTTTCCAACCAGAGGAGATGCTGTCCTGGCCGCAGCAGCCAGGAAGCCCCACCCAGCCTTTGCTCTCGGGTGGTCACCTCCCATGTAGGCACAGTGTGGTCAGCTGGACCTGTGACAGGAGTGGGTGTCTGAAGGCAAATGTGTGTTGGGGAGGGTGGTGAGAGGAGAAGACAAGGAAAGAAGAGGGGGCCAGGAGAGTGTGTCATTTCTGTGGGCAGCTGAGGGCTTCAGGGGCAGTAGGGGTTTGGGCCAAGGGAGGTGCTCACCTGGATCGGGCTCACACTCCAGGTAGATGTCCTCCTCCTCAGGTTTCTTTGGAGGGCCTGGCACCTAAGGTAGGGAAGGACGTGTGGG